TCATCAGAAGATTTGCATATTATCTCTGTCGTACTAAATTTAGGTGACAAATTATGATGTCATCTTCGGTCTACCATGGCTCAAGACAAAATTAAGGGGCCGATTGGCAGCATCGAACTGCGAAGATGACTGCCACTTGTCCATGAGGTGGCCATCTGATGAAGATCTTTAAAAGTCCACTAGCGCGTTGATGTAATGCCAGTGAGTGCGATGGACTCAATTGCGGTAAGGTCATTTGTGCGACTACACAAGATAACAGTGTAAATCCAAATTACATTGTGGAGGGAGCTGCCGGCGGCTGTGCGGATGTCAGGCAGCGCCGAAGGTCCAGCACTCGAAGAAGTGGAGCTGATTAGAACATGGATGTACGTCTAGTGGGCGACATTCAAGGCAGAATTAATCAGCTGCCCACCATGGGCAACACGATGATCCTAAATCGGCTGGAGAGTCGATCTTAAAGAAAACCAGCTGTGGTAGCGCAACCTCAGCTATCATACGTGGAGGGAATAAGTCCCTACGTACTTGAGAATAATTTTTGCTCTAGTAGTCATTGAAGGCAACAAGGCCTCATAAACCTGAGGTAATAAATACACAGCAGTCTATGGAAAGGGTTCCCAGGAAGAAACCGAGACATTAGATGTCATGGGTGGTGACAAGTCAAGTGTAGGCGCTTGTTAGCTTGATCTGATTGTGAATTCGAAGTTGACATCGGAGACCACACAATTGCCAGCGCCATACCCGCAACAGCTCTTGCGAGATCTGCTTTGTGGCAAAGTCAAGCAGATTTGTGTACTCATCACAGAAGAAGAGAAAGTGACTGACATTCGGTTGGCAGTGGAATTTAGTGAGAACGAACGGGTTCTCAGCAGCACATCGGTGATAAAAAAGATCATCAATGAGAAGACTCGTATTGAGCAATTCACATCTCAATCTTGTGAGTCGCTTCAGGAAAACCCTTCATACAAGGATTTGATCGAATTCAAGGACGTGTTCCATGAATCCGTGGTATGTGATCTGGATAAGGACAATGGCACTAGACACGAGATCGAGTTTAAGCCGGTCTCGAAGTATCGTGTCATGAAGCAGTGGCCACTGCCTCGTAAACAAGTACTTGCGACAAATCATTTGCCGATCGCTTTACAGCGGTCATGCAAAGGAATCAACTTCCCTTCACAGCTCTCCGACCTTCTGTGTGCAAAAGGCCACAGGGGGACGAAGGATAGTGCACGCATTCAACCAGTTGAATGCTGCAACGGCACAGGCTCAGTTTCCTGTACCGGGGAAGGATGTATCATTGGTGGTATGGCAAAAAGTACCATCTTTTGCCCCTGTATCTGATGGATGTCTTTTATCAGACCCTCATGCGTGAGGGGAACATCCCGAACGCAGCAGTGAGCACCCCCAGAGGTATGATGTGGGAATGGATAGTGATGAAACAGGGGCTGAGTAACGACCCTGAAACGATCAACAGATGTGTAAACAATATTGGGACCAGTGCGAGATTTTTCGACGAGTTAATTTGACGATGTGCTCGTTCATAGCCGGGATATGTTTGAAAATATGAGCTAAGAGGTTCACAGAACACACGTTCGTCAGGATCTTAAACTTGCGTAAAGGCCTTAGCTGGAAGCCAACCTCAAGAAGTGTATATTTACTGCTAACAAAATGCAACTTATTGCATGCATCGTAGACAAACTCGGCGTACGCCCTGATCCTAGATAGATTCAAGGCGATCGCCGACTGGCCTGTGCCAGTCGATATCGAAAGACTTATAAGGTTCCTTGGGCTAGCGGCGTACTTGCACAAGCACTCGCGCAATTACACTGAGATGAATTTACTTCTTCTTAATTGTATGCTTTAAAGAATGTGAAGTGGTCATGGAGCGCTAACTTTCAGCATCCCTTCGAAGGCATCAAGCTCTGCTTGATACAATTGCCTATATTGGCGATTGCAAATCAAGACAGACCATTTCACGTGGTTCGTGACTCCAGCGATTTCGCAATCGGCTGTGCATTAATGCAGTACGATGCAGATGGTGCAGAGCGCGTCGTCTGATATTAATCGCGTCAGCTGCAACCAGCTGAACGTAATTCTCCATTCCATGAGAGGAACCCCTTGTCATGGTGTACCCTTTGGCGAAGTTTCGCGTCTATTTGCTGTGATATAAGCCCTTCATCGTTTACACCAACCATGCGTCATTACGCACGGCCGCAAAATTCCACACTTTTCGCAAAGGATGTCAAGGTGAATGTCTTTCTTTGCGAAGTAAAACGTTTCTGTGTATATCTAACCCGGACGACTAAAGGTCTTCGCGGAAGCGCTATCGCGTCGACCCGACTACGGGTCGGCTGTGCAATCTATCAGTGGGATCGAAACTACTAGTGCAACACTAGTTACTATTTTTCGTTGCCAACATTGCTTGACGACATATAAGATCCTACGCAGAAGATTAAGTCATTTTTCGAAAGAACTGGATGATTAAGTGACTCCATCTCGTAAGTCTCTTAAAGATTTACCGGCCTTGTATCGATCCGCATAGGGTCGACACACAACAAGCAACGGGATGCCGGCGACACACCTCGTGTTGTCGTCCCCACTTTCAAAGAATTTACGCCTGCGCATCTTGTATAAGTGTCATGGTGCACCATCCAGTGGGCATTGTTGGCTTGAGAATGCTTATACCACGGCAGGTCGCGACTTTTACTGGCCCCCAGTATAAGCTCGTACACAAGTACATTCGTGCTTGTGGGGTGTTCTAACGGGTAAACCCTATTACTTTATCCCGTGCGCCATTACATTCTCTACCAATCCCGGCAGAATGCTGACTGTTCATCTCAATGGCTTCGGCTTCGGTTACAACGAAGAAAATCACAAGAATAATGACATGCTTGTGTCTGTTGATCGCTCAGCAAGATGGTATATCTTGCTGCCGTTCAGGAGTCAATCACAGCACAGGGATGTTCTCGTGTCTTCATTGATAAGGTATTACGGCGTCACGGCTGCCCCGTGAACTAGTCTATGATAGAGACCCTCGATTCCTGGCGGCGTTTTAGAAATCCGTGTTCTGATCCCTCGGATCACGTTTGACTGTTTCTAGCTCTGACCATACCGAGAAAGATGGTCAGACGGAACGCTTCAACCGCTTCCTTTAAGAGACACTACAAGAATACGTCCATATTTTCACAATTTAGAGTGACCTTTTGCCGATGGTGAAGTTTGCCATCAACAACTCCGTGCATGCTTCGACAACGTATACACCATTCATCGTAAATGGCTTAAGCCGTCTAAGTCTACCCGTTCATTTAGATTGTGACTCTAATTTAAGAGGGACGGATTCTATTGAGCAAAAATCGTACTGGATCTTGATCATCACGTGTCGAAGTACTCGACGACGCGAAGGGTTCCGATTTTGATCAACTCAACATCGAAGAAGATATCATTAGCAATATTGCTGACACTATTTCTAACCCAAATGAGTACCATGATGCTGGTATTTTGACTATGCCAGAGAGGATGGTTAAATTCTCGCTGAAGAAGAGAATGAATCGCTTAGCAGTGTGCAACAAGCGCACAGATTTACAAACCACAGAGTCAGCAGAAGATTCCCTGTAGGCACGAGAAGCAGTGGTCCGTTTTGTGCAAGACTCCATCGCTAACGCGGTGGGCCAACAGCAACGAAACGCTGAAAAATATTGAGAAGCAAACGTTCTGCTATTTAACGTTGGAGACTTAGTTGCACTGTATAAATTAAATATACCTAATCACGTAGTAACTAATGTGGGAAGTAGTGAGCTACCACCCGAGTACATTAGGTGGTTCAGTGTACTATACTACAAAGGCAATGCGTACGCGATCGAGTTGCCTTGCAGGATTCACACGTTTCCTACTTTTTAGGTCAGCCGTCTCCGCCTGTAATATCATCACGATTCATCTTCCTCGGGCAAATGCAACCTCCATGCTCAATGATCTCCAAGAGGTTCTTTTTGTCCTGAGTCAATTTCTCTATCTGGATCTGTAGTGTCAGACACTTCGTCGCGAAAGGCTTGACGACTCTGCTACTTCTCCAATCGGTAAGACGCAACCTTTGATCGTATCGTCTGATCGATAAACGCGGATGCATTGCACCCGCGCCTGCAAAGAAAGACGCTCACCTCTGTCGTGTTCAAAGCGATCGTACCGATCTCGTGAACGTTGCTAAACACGATCTAGCTCTGTCTGCAACCTCCAACACATAGATTGAAATTAATCTTCCCGCCCCCACCATAGCCGTGAGTGGAGTCGCACGGTGTTCAACAATTTCACGTAAGGCGTATCTTAAGCCACTATGACGTGAAGCTACAGCGAGCGAATTATCTTGTCTTGTGCGCGGCTACCCGCCGTCAAACGACAGCTGGGTGCCTCGCGCCCAGCTGATCGTTGATGTTCGGGATATCGTCGAGCAATATGACGAGACCCACCCGCTGCATTCGAAGAAGGGCCGTCGGAAAACGACTTCCCGAACGCGAGTACAGGGATTGCAAAGTGTCAATCCCTTCGGCCATCTCAGAAGAGATGCGCGCCCTCCAGTAGGGATCATTAGGAAGTTAGGACTTCCTAGGGGCACGGTATGAGTCGTCCAGGCAACCTGGACACAAAACAACCCACAAGAGACAGGGTAATTCTGCCTCTCTTGAAAGCCGGTGCAACTTGTATCGTACATCGGTACGGTTACTCTTTTCAAACCTGATGCGAGCTGCATCAAGTTTACCTAGCCAGGCCTCACGACAAATACGCTCGATGTTATGGATGAGGGCATTCCATCCTTGCACCAAGGCTTACCGTCTCGAACACGGCTGCCACTGTACCATTGATGTTTGAATACGCATCGGTGAAGAACTCTTCCTCAGCACGGATGGTTTTCGTGCTGAGATTAGAGGAGTAAGGCCTCAAACAGTCGAACAACGGGATTAGATCTTGTTCAGAGGTCAAACCGGCCACTCGGTATAACTCCTTGGATGCCGTCATCCAAGGAGACTCCACTTGGGGAGCATGGCGCAGGACATTGCGGTCCCTAGCCTCTTGATTGGTGTCAGCACGAGCACTGACACCAGTAGCAGCTCGATCCCTCGAGTTTCTTTTCTTGCGGTGGCGCATAGGTGCATCACCATCATCAACACACGTTCAAGTGTCAGATGGACTCGCGTGAGACGAGGATTCGTCAGAAAATCGCTCGGTCCGACGATCGTGGACATAATAGCCCCATGTTCTCCAGAGCCGGTAATCCTGGCTCTGGCAGTGTCCGCCCCGGGAGATCCGGAGGCGGGAGACGCCGCCTTCGAGTCGGATGCATCATCCGATTTGCTAGAATAGCTGAGCTCTATTGCAGGCTCATCTTTATTGCGAGTCGCAGCACCCGCTGCAGACGCAGCAGATGTAGCTGTCGCACGTGGTGACTCACCACGTGGACTGTTCACAACAGGCACCGCCTGTTGTAGAATTGCAAAAGCAGGCGAAGGATCACCTGATACTGAAGCAAAGGAAGAACCCTCTTCGGCTGCACGCATGCGTGCAACTGCCGTTCTTGCTGCTTCGGCAGCACATAGTATGGACTTTGACACAATGCGATGAATTGGCAAATGAGTTAAAATTTGACCAGCAAGTGCTCCCCTTCCCAGAGTGATCTAACGGTTATCACTCTGTCCTAATCAATTTAATTCAATCAACGGGTGATTGATGGTTAAGGGGCGGGTGATGTGACGGGGTAGCCCGTTACATGATATTGATACCAAACGGTGTTAATAGGGAGATTGTTTAGCGTGACAATTCCCTGCAAATATTATCCGAGATAGGTAACATCGAAGGATCATTATCCCTTAGAATAGTGTTCACGTGCTGCTCAAAGGTTGGTTGCTAAAGGCCATTTATCAACCAAGATTACCGTCAATCGCTGCTAGACGAGTTGTCATCATACGACAGTGTAGCTTGACATAATTCAGATAAAGACTGAAGTATTATTGACAGCGTAACTATATTAAGTACAGTTCTCTTTTTACCTTCACTTGAACGAGTCGTTCAAGTAGATTAGCTTATAATGCACGTACGTGTGTACATAAAATTTCATGGTACCTAAAATTTAGTTAAGGGTGTCCCGTTACAGAAGGGCTATGCCACAAGCGCTACTGAGCCTCGTGTCGAATATCTTCATCATCTTGCGTATCACAATTTAATCGAAATCAAGCATTTCGTGGATTTAACTGAAAACAAAAAAGGTCCAGTCGTTTCCACCCCAGCTCCGCCTTTTTTTCTTCAAAAAGACCATCTGGATCCAATGTCCGCGATCCGCCTGGGTTTTTCCTCAACTACAAGAACGCGTTTCTAAACTGGGTTAAAAGCGCCGTGCCACAGCCCTCTCGAAACCTAAACTAAGCCCACTCAGCATGGCCAACACCACATCTGCTTCGAGCGACCAGCTCCTAATCAACGCGGCGGCGCTGGAGAAGTTTGCGGACCATGAGCAGCTCATTGGTGCACGTCGGAAACGCCAAGAAGGAGACGAAGACGAAGAGGGAGACGGGGACAAAGAAGCGCAGAAGCGCCGCGTCGCCTCGAAGCAGTCGCGACGCCACAATTGGCAGCCCAAGTACGAGCTCGAGTTCGGACTTTTGGCGATAGAAAAGGACGCCGTATCAGGGGATGTGCTGCTGGCTATGTGCGGCTTTTGCAAGCTCTTTGGACGGGAAGGCAAGTACGAGCAGCTCGTCCAGCAGGACCAGGAGACTGGCAACGACGCCAAGAAGAGACGCCGACGGTCGCTGACCACGACCAAGTTCTTCCGGGCGTTTCGAGTGGATAATATCCGCAGCCACTTGCAGGGCGCCCATCCAAAACGATGGGCTGAATATGAGATGCTGCCTAAGCAGGATGCAGTGCGGGCTCGGTACTTGCAGCTGCAAGGGGAAGTGCAGCCTTATGACCATCTTCCGATCGTGGATGATGTGGTGCTGGGGAGCGCGGAGCTCCATGCTGAAGGCGAAATGACCTATGACCAAGCACAAGGCCTGGTGCAAGCTTCGGTGATAGGTGAGGCACAGCACGCTGTGGTGCAAGCGGCGGTGCAAGCTGAAGCGGTGCAGACGTCGACTGGGCTTACTGGAGGTGGGCACAGTACGGCCCATTTGACGGCGTCTTTGGTACGTCATTGCTTGATTGAGAGTTGTGGGGTTTCAGTATGATAATGAATTTGGGTGTCTGATCTGTCCTTGATTCGGTGCAGACTTACAGTGGTAAGTCAGAGAACGGTATGTTGTATGGAGAATGCTGGGTCTGATTGATCGAGTAGGAGCTGATGAAGTGTTTGGTGCTCTGGTAGCAGCTTCAGGTGCACCCTCAAGCACGACTTCGGCGACTTCTAGTGTACGAAGCACGTTTGACTATGAGAAACATTTGACGGAGCAGATCATGCTAGACCGGGAGCGACTGGAGTTTGAGAAGACTCGATTTAAAAAGGAAGTTGAGCTGCGCGAGCGCGAGCTGGCACTTCGCGAGAAGCACATGGTGCAGAAGACTGCACTGCACGAGAGGCTGTGCAAGGCCAGTCGGGACAGCGCACAACTCGAGAACGCCAAGTTCTTTAGTCTAGCTGAAGTATTGCGAGACACGGTCACGGGCGCGCAAAACTCATCTGAATCGGCATCCATAGTGTAATTGCCGTCAAAACTTGGTAGTTTTATCTGTCGGTCTGCCCACGAGCTCGAACATGGAAACAACGTTTAGGACGAATAGAGACGAATCGTCGGAGCCATAACAGCTTAACTCCTATGTGTACATTTACTCCGCGGTGACGATGCTGTTGGCTGTATTTTTCGTCTGCTTTGTGCTTTCTGGCTGGTCTTAGGCTGCGTTCGTTAAGCGCCTGCGTCGGGTGATATCGACCAAGTGGTCTTGGCTCAAAAAATGTTGAAAGTGCTCGTCCTCGCTCTTCCTGTGAGCTAATCGCAGATGTTCTCGTCTCTGCTAAGGCAGCCTCGTATGTGCTTGTTCCAGTGTCTTCTTCCAGTTTCGTACGACGTTCTCATCCTCCTCGTCGGTCGTCCGGTCAGGTCGTCGGAGTATTTTTCCTTCATCCGAAGCGGTGGTCATGGCATCGTCCGCAGGCCCTTCATTCATAAGTTTGGCTCCTTCTTCTATACGTTCGGCTCCTTCTTCCATACATTCGGCTCCTTCATCTGTACAAACTTCAAGTACCATCTCGGTCACACTCAACGTTGGTTCTAGCTCATCAGCACTACCAGCTGAAATCGCTTCCTCTTGATTCTGGTACTTTCTCAACGTAACTTCCTGAATATAGCTGACGATTTGTGGACTCTGCAATGGCAAGGCGGCTTTATCCCTTCGATGCACTGCATCGGGCTTAACGTGAAGCGAGATCATCTTCATTTCCGCATCTGGGGTTACTTCCACTTCAATCAGCTCCTTATCTACTGCCTCCGACACACCGCCTTCTATTTCAATTCCTGAGTATCCCCCTCACTCGATAACCGCACGCCTTCCGTATCCAGCCCAAATGGCTCGTCGTTATCTGTTACACCATATTCAGGCGGCACAGGAATTTCGATCGATGCGCTCGACTCCATCAATGCCACGATGCTTCGCTTGCTGCTCGGCGCCTCCACAACATCTTGGCTAACTGTGGAGGACAACAATCCTTTTTCACTCTTGAATGTAATCATTTTGAAACCGTCCAACCGTTCAATGCTACGCAATGTCACTGCTTCTGCTGGTTGCGAAATGATCAAAGACCGGGTCGCCGATCGGGACCACCCAGGAATACTTCGCTTGTCCTTCACGCGAATGCGAACATGCTCGAAACACTTATACTCTTGTGCCTTGAGCGGGTTTGGTGGATCTCGATAGCAAGGAATGAAATAATCGATCGACTTGAAGGTCACAGCGACGTTACCGGCTTCAAACGTTGATACAAACTGCGTTTCGCACGCATCAACATTCGAAGTGACTGCGCAGCCCCAATAAGCTACCCAGGCAACGCTTCCACCCTGTTTCAGATTCTTTCCATCCAGCGCAACCAACAATTCCTCATCAACCATAGCGTAATTCGGATCCACCTCGTGAATCTCTGGAGCTGGGAACGTCAGATCGTACAACTTTGTAGGGACGTCCGCCACAAAAATGACAACCATAAGTGCCATAAGATACCTAGCCCGTCGACAATGACAATGCAGCAGCAAGTACACATTTACAAGTAGCAACGCAGCGTCAATAGCCACAGGCATACACAATTCCTGTGCCACCGCCCTTTCCCACTGCAGCAAAGCCAAGTGACATGTCTCCACCGTGTGCAGCATCTCGTCAATTTGTGCATTCAGCTTCACCAGCGTATTACCAACATGAAAAACGTCCGGCAATTCGCGACAAATGGTCCAGTACAGCAGTCCAAGTCCACCCACCATAGAGATGACATGAGCTACTGCACAGCCAAAGAGTTCCTTCATCGAGCGGCACCCCAACGGCCAGAACCTGTCAAATTTACAGTAACATATATCCACATACCAAAAATTAGCCATCCACTTCCAAAGATCCTCTGATAGAAGATAAAAGACTAGCCTTGACGTACCCGTATCCCTGATGTCTCAAAAAAGGAGCACAAAGAACCAGCAACGGTGCAAGTGCCACAACCAGCAGTGACCAGAGTGTCCAGCGGACGAAACCAGGTGCGTCTTGCACCAGAACTTCGTCCAAGTCACTTGTCTCCGACTCACTGTCGCTCTCTGGATGATCCTGCACGTACTGGTCCAGAAAGTCTCTCCACTTGGGACGTCGCTTGAGGTTCTCCAGTCGTTCCTCAATGTACTCGGGCGAGCCAACGTCCAATAGCGGCAGCTGGTGGCAGCTCTCGGTTGTACATTGCTCGCTGCCGTTTCCATCGTCTTCATTTTCCTCGTGGCTGCTCTCGAGGTCAGGCGCTCGCAGCCTCATGCGCATTAATTTGGCTCGAGCTGGAGGTGAAGTGACTAAACGAGTACGTTTGGTGGTCAGTTTCAGCTCTTTTTGTTCGATGCGGTCCGATAAACTAAATACGTTTGACGTAAGGTTGCTGTATCTGATTATACAGGTATACTCGATATCAAAAGAGAGAGAGAAAGTGGGGCTAAACAAAGTAGTACACAAAAAGTGTTTTTCTGTCTCATTGATGGTGCAAATGGACGACTCGAGTATCACGCAGAGCGTGGTCGCACGCGCCGTAACGTTCGCCGAAGAGTCTCGCGAGAGCTGCTGGAAACGGAGCATCGTAGCGTGTGCGGCTGGAGCGACAATGGGCGTCGGTCTTGGCACGTTCCTCGGCACGTTTGAAGGCGCGCATGGAGAATTGGTGGGCCGCACTATGCGGCAACAGGTGACTGACTGACTGACTGGCATCTGTTTGTTTGCTTGTTTGCATTGGTGCACGGACGGGTCGTGGACGCGTTATTCACAAACAGATGTTTCCTTTTTGTCTGTAGCTCTACAATGGCTTTAGGAAGTCGATCACAGCTGGCTACGTGCGTAGCGTCTACTTCTCCAAGGCAAGACAAGCAAGCAAGCAAGCTCCTGGCTCAGCTAATAGAGAGCTGCTTTCTGACACAATGTTGGCTCTTTTCTTGGGGTGTGAATTGCGATTTTTTGCAGGAGTTTGCGCTAGTTGGAAGCATCTTTGCTGGCGTCGAGTGCGTCATTGAGCGCCAACGAGCAAGGCATGATATCGTGAACCCCATCTTGGCTGGCGGTGTGTCGGGCGGCGTGCTGGGCGCATGGGCCGCGCGGACTTCTGGCGCAAAAGGTAGGATGCTATCGACACGTTGGTAATGTGGTGTGGTGGACTGCTTGAAGAACTGACAGGTGGTGTAATCGCAGTGTTGGTGCGGAATACTGCGAAAGGCGCAGCAGGTTTTGCTGTGATGGCCGTTGTGTTTGAAAAGGGCATGGAACTTCTGATGAATTAGACTGGTCTGGACTGCTGATAGATGGTGAAACGAATCTATAATAGACTTATTGCAACTGACAAGGAACAACGTGGTGCTGTCATGATATGCGCTACATTAGGCATCTTAGGGAGCGACAATGTGTCAGTATCCATTCGTAGCCGCAAGGTTCTAAATTGATGGCAGGATGGAGGCACTGCAGTTCGGATGTTGCATAATGGACAATAGCCGGTCGTGTGAAAACAAAGCCACGCGTACGTTTGACGTGTCCAGATCCAAGCCGACTACAAGTTGAACTGGACAGGGAGCGCTTCATGATCTCGATTACTAGCGTGTCAAAGATCCGAGCTTCGATCCGAATCAATTCTGACGACTAACGACTTTTACTGCCTGCAAGTAGTTACTTCTGTGTTCTGCGTGATTCTGAAAGGTGACCAGCTGGCTTGCAGTCTCTGCTCAATTGATGAGTTGAGTCGTACCTTGCACCGTGTGATAAGTGTGCACCGATTATGCGTCATCACCAGTCAACTACTTCGTGCTTCTTACTGGACTCTGAAGCAAAATGGACCAGCGACGCAACATTGAGAACAACATGGTGATACCGGATTGTTTGTGGCTATGGCAGAAGAAGGATTGTGGCAGAAGCGCAGTGATAGTGAAGTTCTTTATGGGTGATTCGTACTCATAGCTGGCTTGACACTGATGGCACATTGCAGCTCCAACGGTGGATCCTTGCTAGAAGCAATCAGCGACACCACAGCAACGGCACTATCCAAGTGAAGTACCACCTACGCGCGCAGTGTTGATAACCAAGAGAGCTGGACACTACGGGAGCCATCGGACATTATACAACGGTTTACTTTTAGCGATCAAGGCACTTCTCCGATTCCAGCGTACACAATTCGTCTGCTATGTGCATGTACGGCTCCTCAGCGGAGCTGCATCATGAAATTCACTGCTCCTTGTTTCTTCAGACGCGCCAGCACCGGGTTTTCCTCCTCAAGCACTGGTCCCAATTTGGCTTCCTCGTCAAATTTTCGGCTCGCGTGACGCTGGCTCCTGCGGAACCGACTGAGGCTGTCGTCTCCTTCGTCTGCACTGCAGTCTTCGACGCTCTCACCAACAAACAATGAGCTCTGGCGGGACCGCATTCGTGCCAACCCCTCGTGAGATGACGAGCTCTCTGTTACAACCCGTTTCTCAAGACTGCTGCCCTCCTCTGCGCTCTGTTGACGGTGGCGGCTGTTGTGAGAACGAGAAGCACGCCTTGTGCTACAATTCTCTTCATCGTCTTCGGTGCTTTCGTCTTCATCATCTTCGTCCAAAAACGAAGAGTTGCGCCTTCTGAGGACCAGAGGCTTGCTCATCGATAACTTCCTTTCTGCCGACAAAGTGTCCTTAATCACAGCCTGTGGTCGTTCATCTACGTGTCCATCGTCACTGTCATCATCAGACTCATTGTCAGCCGGATTCTCTTCCTGTATCGGGTCCGTTTCCAACGTCTCTCCAAATATCGTATTGAACGACGCCCTTCGATTCAGGTGACGTCGCGGATCAGCCAGTCGAATGCGATGCGCAGAGTTTGGTTGCATGCTCTTGCTTGGAAAGACGTTCAACTCGCTACCGATCGCCGGCGCCAGCCGTTCATCCATCACCTTCGCACTTGTAATACGCGTAGACTGCACACGCTCAGCGTCCCTGTTTATGGTACTAAAGCTGTCAGACTTCGGACGCATTTTGCCAAGCGCAGTCTCAGCCAACTGTTGCTCCTCCTTTGACTTTTTCATCACTACACTCTCTGAAATCTGCTTCGAGCGTCTACGGTGTCGTCTGTGCGTTCGCCTCCAGATAACTGCCCGTGCTTGCATCAGCTCATTTCTCTTTGCTTCATCAGGAAGAAGTCGCGCCATTTCTAAGACAAGCTTACAGCACTCCTGAGCCCCAACTGCCCCAACTAGAAAAGCACAATATTCCTTAGCAGACGTTCTCTCGCGACCAAAATCTTTCGTCTGGTCCTGGAACGCCTGCACACGCTCTTCGTCATTTGCAACGAGCTCTCGGACAGTCTGGATGATCTTCTTGTGGAGCTTTTTCGCTGCTCTTAAATCAACTTCCGGAACAACTTCCACAATCTCATCGTCCTCGAGCGCAGCCGAGCTACTACTTTTCAGTGATACTGGGGGTGTAAAAGTGACACCCGTACTCGAGTATCGACGGGATGGTGCCTGACCCGTAAACCTCGCTGGAGGGTCAACCTCCTCTTCCGGCTCATCGGGCAGCGTGGACTGCTCCGATACATTGTTCGTGCTGTCAGTATCGGCGAAGAGTAACGCACGTGAATCAGCACTCACGGGCGGGTCTACGAGCTCAGCGTCATTTACACTTGACAACGGTGTCTAAATAGTATCGGATACATCGCATCAGATACAAATCATATGGCAGAGCTTGTACGTCATAGATGTTCAAAAGCACTCACCATGAGCTCGAAGAACGAGTCGAAGCCTAGATACTGTCTCGCTTTATGAAGTAGTACAGGTTCTGTCGACATTTCTGGCATCCGAAAGACCTGCATAAGTGCGTTAATAGCAGAGTAAGCAGAAGCGAAAACGTAAAAAGCACAATGAAAAGCGACAAACCTGTTCGACATACAGCGCCAGCTGTTGCTCTTTCAGCTCCCGCAATGACTTCTTCCGCATCCCTCCAAATAGCGAGTCCCGTCGGCGGTCTCTTGGCACCGCTATCTGCGTCATGTGTGCACCAAACGACACGCGCAGCTCACTATCGAAGCACAAGTACACTTACCAGTCAAAAAACACGATCTCACATGCACCAGCAGACCCTATCTCGGCTAAGTTCGTCACCGCTACTCACTCATCAAATCTTTGCAGCTCCGCCAATGTTTTCCAGACACTCCACTGAACACTAGACTTTTCATTCCGCTCATGCGCTGGCAGCACCAGTCGACACAACAGTTCAAATTCCTACGAACAAACAACCACAACACATAAATAAACACCCGTCACTTATCCCGTCAGGACCTGCACTCAATCTGCACAAAACATCCACCAACGTCGACGCTCACCATCCCGTCCGTGTGTTCGTCGCGCATACTAGACGCAAGCACAACCGCGAACTTGTACCCCACGTCGTCACCGCCACCACAGCGAACAGTAGGACGTTTAGGCTCTGTAATAGCCGAGTAGACTGCAAAGAACCACGCGTCCGTCGTGGCTTTGTCATTATCTTGCAGCTTGAGCATCTACTCCACAAAAGACACACGGAGCATCACATCATCAATCAGTCACACACCCCTTCCAACTCCAACCCCCTCCCCTCCCTCTCTTCAGGCACAGACTAATCAACCAGCTCCATCCACTGACCTTGCAGAGCCCCCCACGTGCCTCGTGGATAATGAACCCGTCCGACAGCTGCTCTAGCTTCGCGTCCCGCAAACAGACGCGTCCCAATGGCTGCAGCATGTCCTGGTCCGCCCGGGACGAGTACACGAGCTGCTGCAGCTGCGGCTGGAGCAGAACCGTCATGCGCTGGGGCTTGGCCTTGGGCGGACGACGGGCAGGAGCCCCGTCTAGGCGCGAGAGCAGCAGCAGCCCCTGCATCTGCTTCACGCGGCGGTGGCCGCTGTTCTTCTCCGTGGTCGGCATGGGCCCTTTTTCGCGCAGCGGATGGGGGACACGGGGCGGATTGAACTCTGGCTGCTGCTCGGAGCCGACTTTTTCTCGTCTGTCGTGGCGGATTACGCCTCGCGATGGTGGTCAGGAGAGTGGACGGAGCGTTTTATCATGTCTGCTGCTGCTCTTATGATAATACATAGGACCAATGGCCGTTGAAGAGGGACCGAGGCAGTGAGGTTTTATAAAGTTTGCGCGGTTATCGGGGTACAAGGCGTCGAATCAGACCATTCTTCAGTGCAAATGGACTGCTGCATTCTATTTTTGGAAGCGGTCAGTCGCGTGCGGTGTGTTCAGTAGCACCGACGTAATCAAGGTGCGTGTTGTTCGTCTCTCTCTCCACTGAGAACGTTGGCATGATTTCCGTCCTCGTCACATACACAACGTGAGTCCGTAGCCTAAAGAAAAAGATGCGATCGATGCTTGAAAGCCTTACAACAGCTGCGTGCATTTGGTGCTGATTTGGTGAACTTGTCGATTTGTCATGATTTGTTCAAGGCACGCATGAATGAACCGTGCGGCGTCCAGCCATGAATCTGGTCATGGTAGTAGCGCCTCTTAACGTCGTTTTAGCCAGTCTGCCGTACTAGTCGCTTCTGAGTTTTACCTTCTGTATTATCGACAGCTGCTGACTTTGTGCGGCAACAGTGACAGCCGTGTGATGGACTCGCGACGGCCACGTCTGCGCGCGAATAAAAATCAACGACGGTATTGGGTAGTAAAAGCATGACGACAAGGTGCGTCTGCTGTGGTGCCAAGGTGAGACATGACCATGCCGCCCTAGGACAACGCCAGTCGTCGTCCCTGAAGTACGACCACGGTCTTGAGGTAGTGTGTTGATAGAAAACAAGCTGTGGGGATCACAAAGACCTCTTCGATCAATGCCCCCCAGCGACTCGAAAGCAGACTTTGCCAATGTTGTGCCGTCACGTAGTAACGCAGCTACCTCCCACCTTATTAGACGATAGCATAAGTCGCGTCCATCACGCATGTGTAACGCGTCCGTTTGTGGATCCGGAAGGGAACGAACTTTTGTAAGACCTCTTCGGGTGCGGCCAAGCATATACTGGAAGCAAGATGCACAAGAACGATTTGGCTTGACAGCGACACAGTCCAGTAGACGTGTACTACGTACCCACTGCGCCTCTGCATCATATCAGCTGCAACTATGCGAGACCAACGTATGCAAATGGCGTGCTACTATCTACAAAGGGTGGCTTCGCGGAGCCATCTATTTGAGGTGGTTTGAGCTGGATAGTGTGCAAAGGGACCGAGCCGTTCCACGGCTTTACACGTAGGTGGACTGCCGAACAACATATGCCAATCCAGAACAGGTTTAGCCACCGTCAGCGGTCAATGACTGGCTCTAACTATGGAATGTTTTTTAGCGTTGAAGTTGTCGGGTAGGTGGAGGCTCCAAACTTGCAACTGCACCGACTGACGTGCTGCCAAACGTCACGACTCGCTTGAGGCTGGCTGACAAGTGACTTGGCGCATGCTTGAGTCACAATCGACGTCTTGAATCAGCACAAGACCAATCGTCGGCAAGTGGACGTCCAAGTCAGGACCGAATGCAACGACGGTCTCGCTCTTTCGATGCTCCTTCTGCGCATAACTCCAGTTCCAGCTGCTACCCACAAAAGTTCTTGATCATGTTGGGCTTGCAAGCGTCGAGCTACTGCTGCGAAACAAGCCGTTGTCTAGAGGCTGCCAAGCCCAGACAGCGTCAAATACATTTTTCACCGTTGCCTGCATATTATTTTCCACAACACCGCTACTGAATCATAGGGTACAGCGGAGCTCTACGTGCAAAAATGAAGAGAAGAACCTTTCCCTCTTCAACTTTTCATGTGGGGATGAACTTTTCCTTCAAGTTGGCTACTGCAAAGCAGCATAAGCACTGCGTCACATTTTAACCTTGCAGCAGCCCCACAGCGATTTTTCTTCGCACTTTAAAATGATACCATGTATTTGAAAGCACCATTTCTGAGCATTGACGCATTACGATTGCGACCAGGGCAATGCTTGTACAGCCACTTTTCTCGACTGAGAGCGTTTTACAGAGATTGGAAGATGCCTGACATAGTTTATAAAAATTCCAACGTCAAATTTTGTGCTCATGTCGCGTGTCCTGGAAGTGCTTTAATCCATGAAGCTGATACGCGACAGTATAACCCGTGTCAATTTGATCAGATGTTTCAAGATGCATGCGACACCAGCCCACGAGAAACAACATGTGTATTGTGACATGCGTGGAAGAAAAGTAATTTAGATGTGGATGACTACCACGCAACCGATCACACAATATAACACGTCAAGCCCTTTCCAAAATTCAACGATAGCACCGCGAAATAACCAGAAGCTACCTTACTTCATAATGTAATGTTAAATACAATAACACAACGAGATGACCAGAGCAGCCGCTTACTTACCACAATGCTTTTCTAAGCAGAACGAGCGCTTACTGTTGACCTCAAAATTTGATGTGTTATGTACGTGTACGTATCAGCCATGTTGATTTGGAAACTGCCTCTGCTGCGGATATGATAGTATCCCATCCTTCTTCGGTATTTTCGTTTCGCCCTATTTGACCATGAGCTTTTATCGATAGCATTAGACGCGATGGGCCGTAGCACATTAAGGGCACAGTGGATCTGTAACGGGGCACGCTTCGTGTGGGGTGCCACGAAACTTCACGTACACTAGTACGTGCAGAGGAAGCTAATACACTCAACAACTATGTTGAGTGGAGGTAAGAAGACAACTGTATAGAATATCGTTAAGCTATCAATATAACTACAGTCTTGATCTACTATATTAAACTACGTCGTCGGATGACGACAACCTGCTCACCACTCATTGCGCGCGTCTAGCAGCGATTGGTGGCAATCTATGGTTGATATGTCTTATATCAACCAATCTTCGCGCAGCATGAATTTATTTTCTAAGGGATAATGATCCTTCATAGTTATCCATCTCGGGTAATATTGGCAGGGGATTGGCATGCTGGACAATCTCTCTATTGACACCGTTTGGTGTCAGCACCATGTAACGGGCTATTCCGTTACAGTAAAGCAGAACGTCCACTATTTGCACATCTAGCAGCAAAAAAGGCGATGAAGGTCGACCGAAACATACCTGGATGGTACAAACACAAATGCGACGTGGGTTCTCAATTCTGCTTTGATCGTAATTAGTATGTGTCTTTTCACCCACGCTTGTCGCTATCATCCTGACTTGAATGATTTAATTACACTGATGTGCATGGATATGGCCTCGAGTTGCTACGGATGTGGAGAAGCACGAAGGAAGAATGACGGAAGTGTGGATCGCGCGATCCGCCTTAAGTACGAAAATCAGTTTCATTGGTGGAGCCGTACGGAGATGGGCCCGTTGGCACGGATGATGGTGTCACACGGCTGAGTGACAGGAAATGACTGTGGAAATTATGCAGAGTAACCCACTAAACGGTCACGAAGGGGTAAAGGTCAAGCGGAGTGTGTCGTGATGGTCGAGGTAGATAGCGCACCCGCCGTGGATCGCATACCGCGATCCGATATGGGGCAAACCGGTACCCTACGATCCGGTATGGGGCAATCTACTATAGATTATCTACGGTGGACCACAAGATGTTAGAGGTGAATGGCAGAGACAGCCGACCTAGCGAACAGATAGCCATCTTCATAAGTTTTAGGTTTGGGTGGTTGACATTAAACAGAATTGAATTTGCAACGAAAGACACGCGTCGACTTCTCTCGGGCAGGATCTTTGACCTCCCGTTGAATAGAGAGTCAACCACGTCTCAAGTGAACTTCGCCCTTGGATTGTTTGGCCAAGCGGAGGTCAATTCTCCCCCCACCTCAACTGCGATAGGACGCAGTGAACCTTACTGTTCAGATTCAAGATCGCTAGACGGCTCAAGTGGTCAGAAGGCTCGCGTATCAAGCATCACCCCTGGCAAAGGCGAATCTGGTAGAGCGACCAAGTTACAAGCAATAAAGTGAAGAATTTTCACGCGATCCGCCCCTACGTTGACCGGGTGAAGTATTTCCACCCGATCAACACCTATCCCTAAGACGGTCAAGTTCAGCTTCAGCTCAATTCCACCAAGAAGAGCGCAATCCGCCCCACCGACGGGTACACAAGGTGAGAAAGAACATAAAGAACACGGAATCGGGTAACTTCCTCCGTTAGTCGGTCGTCCGGGTGCCAGTTGAGAGTCGGGATCTTCTGAGGAAATGAGCGATCGCCACTTCACCACACGGAAGAGGTGTATGAGAATGCAAGGTTCCTTGCGTAAATCTGTTGTAGCAAAAATATTGCTGTAATGAATCACAGTACGGTAGACATTTCGAATATGCCGTACTATTGTAGTGAATAATTGCACGCTGAATTTGCGTGACATTCGCCGATGCCGAAGAATGGCAGAAGAATCGGATGGAACTAACCATTTAGCTATTTCGTACTCAAAAAAACGCCCGTCAGATATATTTACGGTCAAGTCATAAGCTAAACGATGAGAAATTATCTCAGATGTTGCTTAAAAGAAAATGGTCGATAACTTGTTGTCCGTCGACTTCATCCAAATGTTGGGCTTTTCAAACGCGCCAGATTCTTTTGCACTTTAAGGCTTTTAAATTTATTTACTCGCTTATAAAATTGGCCCACATTCATTAAAAGTCCAGGTTAGACCGGCGGTCGACGTGGAGCCGCATTAGTTGTTGTCGACTGCAATTTTTTGTGTAGCTGACCATACTTCGGGACGACACGAGTTTTCTAGAATGCATCATCACTAAAGCTTAAAAAATGGATTGGGCAGACCCGAATAGAAATAATTTCCCTTATCGCCTACAAATTGGTCGTATATAGTTTACGTTTTTGATCTTTGCTATGATCTTGACGTCCGTCACTATTATAAATTTTCGTTGTTGCATTCGTTTTTGGAAGTGCCTGCGTACACTTTAGTCTCAAAT